TTGTTTATACGTAAAACGGTTCTCTATACGGCTTACGAAGTACGAAGTACAACATGGCGTAATAGGCGATAAAAAAACATTTCCCAATTCTATGCGGAGGGGAAGGATATCATTCCATAAAGCCACCGTATTCTATTCCCAGACACTAATGTATTGCAACATTACTACTGCAACATGTTTTGCATTGCACCCCTGAACCGATTCGTATTAGGTGCTCAAGTGAGACATGACTATACTTAGACATCCGCTCTGTGATCTGCGAGTAGAGTCCAGTGCGAGACCCGGGCGTTTATGTACCCATGTACAAGGTTCCATTGGGGGTTTTTTTCCCCTTACTCGTGCAGCTTATCCGCTCGGTTGATCTTACCGAGACCGCTCTTTGGACGTTTTTCTTTTCTTTTTACTTTTTGTCGTTTTTTTTTTGTCTTTGTTTTCTCGCGGCATCGGAGATTTAACCCTCCGATCGCACGGCTTGAACCGTTTTATCTCTCGGCTAATATGTATGTTCCTGATCGATGTTGCATAACAATTTAACTTTACTAGAGGAATACTTGATAGAATACTAGTACATCTATACCTAGACAACCTCGGAAACCCTCGCACTTTTATGTAATACCTACTATGTATCCATGGATTCTTCCTAGATGTAGGTAGGCTTTACGCGTACAACGTGCGACCTCAAAACCAACGTCGTTGAAAATGGAACACCCTCTAACCACCAACATGCAGTCAATATACAGCCAATTCAGTCAATACAGTCAATACAGTCCTAGTGAAGTAGTGACCTCCCAACCAATCGAATTAATAGCATCAACATGCAGAAGAGAAAAAAGCTCTTCAAATGACGTAAGATCCCGGACTCCCAAGTGCCTCCGAGTATCAGCCGCGGACCCTGACGATGTTCTTGGCAATCCGCCCTTGCACTTGCACGTCCCTGATTTCCGGTGCCCGGTGCCCAAAACGGCATTCCGCTTAAACGATCATCGGCTTTGGCATTGAAATCTCCGGGTCACTTGTTTTGTACTCCGTGATAGTATAGGTAACCCTAGAGTCCTCAACTTCCAAGGCTGATATGTTGTACACGAGTTGCATGCAGGGTGCATACATAAATCTTGAAAACGGAAGGACACCAAGCAAACTCTATTTTCTATACTCCCGTGCCAATTTTGATGTTCTGCCGCCATACGGAGTGCTATGTCTACTCCGTAGGAAGCTATGTATTTCCGAGGAACGAACGGGGCAAACAAAAAGTCAATTATATTGCAAAACAGTGGCATGTGAAGTTGCGGAACAAGATATGCTCGAATGCTTCTTTATCTAATTTCAAGATCCCGTGTTTCAGCTTGCGTAATGCTTCAATCGCCTTTTTCTTTTCGATTTGCTATTCCTCTCTAAATGCCGAGCCTGAACAACCAATACCCGTAGACCTCTATAGATGCCGAGTATCAGTCATCAATTCCCTTGGATGCTAATCAATATACAACATATTATGGGCGGCATTTTATGGCGTAGCTGCCATGTCAGGAACCGCTCGCGCTAGCTCAGCAAGCCATAATGTATGTTTCACACGAGCTTGCCCGGTGTATCTGAGATCATGCATGAATTAATTAGAACGGTTTCCATGTGCCTGCATTGGGTTTATAGTTTATGCCTAGGTACTAGCTCGGGCTGTGAGGAGGCTTGTAACATGTGATATTTCAATTGGCATCTCGTCACATATGCATGAATATTTTTTATCCGGGATCAATTGAGGTGATATAGATCGAGCTATCTACTATATAAGTAGTAGACAGGTTTTTCACCAAGACTTCAAACCTTCAGAGAGAGCCGCATCTGGTTTCTTTGGGACAAATTGACTTTTTATTATGCATCTGCCCGAACCTTCCCAGGTTGGGTAGAACTTCGTTTACATATATAATCATCATGGAATGAATTGTCTAGTAATGATGTACTCAAATATTCGAAATAACTCATTTTAAAATGAGAAAATCAGCATATTCTCTAACAATGGTGGGGTAAAAATAATATTTGCTAGATAAGGCGATTATCATAGCTACGTGTAAATATATATTTTAGAAATTTCTTTCATTTAGTCATGATAACTACCATTCTAGATTATAACTAGCTTCTGATAAGGATGATAGTGTAAAGGATATAGAAGTTAGTTGGCTCTATGGAAGAGAAATGACGAGGCACTCCCCTGGTACGGTATGCCGAGTCAGACAACTGATTTTGCGGAAGCACATTCCACAACCATGAAGTATAACCGGGCGAGTTGCCAGCAACAATATAAAAATGTCGAGCGAGCGACCAGTAAACTACAAGAAACAAGCAACCAGTTCAAATACACAGATCCTGGAGGTGATCGAAACGAGGAGCGAAGAAAGTGTCTGAATGGGAAGATCACTCATCCACACTCCTAGCCTGTAATCTCAAAGTGGCCATAGAAAAGAACCGGATCTGGCTCTTCGCATTAAGCTTTGGCAGAAGGCAGTCATAATACTCGATTGGAAATAGTTGTGATCAGCGGAAGTATTGACACATCCACATCTATCCATGTAAATGATGTTCTTGCTAAGACAGGAAAGTCTGACAGACCAAATAGCCATCCCCAAAAGACCAAACTCTTCGACCCATCTACATCTACACAACTTACCATGCAAGATACAAAGAATTCGAGGGTCACTTAGATAAACATGGAAACCGATCACATTACTACTCCAAATAGACCCATGGGTATTGCAAAAAAGGCATTGATTCATTTTTGCTGACTACCATTTTGCCAACGGAAACACAGTTAACAAAGAAATAGCAGGGGGGCAAAGAAAGACCCGCTTAGTTCTCGTAGAGAGTGCTGATGAAGGACTCGGCAGGAGCAGTAGGCTTGCCACCCTCGACGGACTGCTGTCCAAGCTTCTGCTTGGAGTAGGCAGCGGCGTAGGGGTTGAGACGGAGCATGACCTGCTTGTTGCGGAGGGGGTTCTTCTTCTGGACGTTGACGCGCTTGGTGCGGGCCTCACCCTTGGGAGCCTGGAGGACGGACTGGATTTCGGAGGAGTTGATGAGACGGGTCAGGTCAGCGTTGGCCACAACGTTGGAGGGCAGGAGGTAATCCCGCTTGAGAGCCGAGGGGCTGGTGGTGGTGCCGTAGACCTGGTCGAGAGCCTCGAAGGCCGAGGAGGTCCAGATGACGAAGCGACCGAGGTGACCACCGGGGGCGAGCTGGAGGAGGTTGAGGGAGAAGACGGGCGAGGTCTCGACACCGGGGATGTTGCGGAAGGCCTTGACGAGGTCCTTGCCGTCGGTCTCGGGGTTGTAGACAACCAGGGGTCCGCGGCGCTGGCGGAAGCGGCGGTTACGGAGCTTACCCTTACCAGCGCGCATCTTGCGGGACTTCTGGACCTTGACGAGATCGGCACCGGCACCGACAGCCTGGAGGAGGGCGATGGCGGCCTTGGTCTTGTTCAGGGACTCAACGGCCTTGGACTCAACGACGAGGGGAACCTCGGGGACGTTGGCGACACGGTGACCGCGGGCGAAGAGCAGAGCGGGGGAGGCAGAAGCAGCCAGAGCGGAGGCAGTAGCGAAACGACTATACGCGGGAAATTTATTAGTTCCTCCGAATTCTCTAGGCGTTCAATTCGTTCAACCGGATTCAACATACCGCTGGCCAACGTTGACCTTCTGGTGCCACTTGCGCCAGACCTTGGTAGGGGCGAACATACGACCGGAACGACACTGGTTACCGAAGGCAGCCTGACCGGCACGGTGAGTACCACCACCGGAGACACGGGGAATACGGGCGACAGCACGACCTATTCAATTGGAAGCAATCCAGTCAGTTATTGTTCTCCATAGAAAAGAATCCGATGATCGCAAATTTTTCTTCTTTCGCAAATCCGGATCCGATTCTTCCAATCTCGAAAAATGTGCCAAATAACGTACCGGTACCCCAGGACTCAGCGGAGGTCTGTTCACCAGCCTTCTCGCTCACGGCGTAAGGCTGACGCTTGTTCTTGGCCATACCAGTGTGAACATGCCTATAGAGCGACGGTCAGCACTTCCCCTCCATCGATTTATGAATCCAAGGTTTTTGGCGAGCCATACTGGACAATATCCGGGCGGATAGGAGCAGAGAACACAGTGGGAAGGGGGTGGGAGGCCCCGGAGGGCTTGCCCGCAGCCGTGGCGATCGAGACAGTCGGGCGGGAGGCCATTGTTGCTGGTCGGTGTCGAGGTGAGGTTGAAGATCCAATCTCTCTGAGTCGGGGGGCTTCACAACTGGGTGTGGATTTTTTCGCTTAGTGAGAAAATGCAGTGGGGCGGCGAACCCTAAGCCCTTCCTGCCATATGTGGGCTAGCGCACATATGCTGCCATTATCTAATCGGAGCTATCACGTGAGGTCCCACAAGTGGGTCTATCTCTGGCAGGTGCGATCTTACATCCATAGATAACTAGTAAACATCACTCACTTATTAAGTTTATCTGGGCAATATCAACTAAGATGACACCGAAAGGCTCAACAAAAGCATGCTGGAGGTGATGTAGACTCTGGATCTCTATAGCTCCCCTGAGTGCATACCTCGGGATATCCTCCATCTGGGGGACAAGGAACTCATCGATCTATTGAAGTTATGATGGTTAAGCAGTGCCCAGATGGTCATTCTGAAAGTTGACGTCCTCTCTTTTACCAAGAATTTTTTTTTAATGGGCAACAAACAACTCTGTTGTTTGAGCAGCACTAATCTACTGGCTACTGATATACAACACCAAGCCACGCAGTATAGAGAAATGGATATCTTATATCGAAACCCTGAGATGTCCTATTTTCCTAGTCTCATCTCCTAAATGTACAGGAAGAAAGGGATTTAAAATGCACCGAACAGTAAAAGGACCAGCCTAGCAGAAAAGAAAGACCAAGAAGAGAAAGGAATCATAGAACCATTCAGAGATGGAAGAAAGTGCACAACATCCGAAGCCGGCGGATCATGTTGTGTATCTAACTAAGCGCATGGGCGTGGTGAGCACCGAAAGCACGGTTGCGGAAGCGCATACTTGAGATATGACGCGCCTTCTTGCTGGCAGTGACAACAAGCTCCGCGCTCTGACCAGCATTGCACTGCGTGCCAGTCGACATCTGCTGAGCGTTGGTCCAGGTACCAGAAGCACAACGCTGGAAGGAAGTGCCTGAAATGCAGTTCCACTGGCCCTCGGTACTGCAGCTACCCGTCAGAGCACCCGAGCTAGAGTTGGAGGCGGATCCAGAGCCGGAGGACGAAGAGGTTGCCACGGGAGCTGGGGCAGCTGCTGAAGAAGACGTGGGCTCGGGCTCGGTCTCAGCGGGTGAGCTGGATGGAGTAGCTTCTGGGGCTGGAGCCGCGGATACCGAGGCGGGTGCGGTGGAGGCGGTCTCTGCCGGGGCAGAGGAAGAGGCAGGGGAAGCAGGCACAGATGAACTGGAGCCAGAGTCTGAGCCAGAGCTAGAAGAACCCGAGGTAGTATTACCGGAGCCGCCGAAGGTAGCAGTACCGGTACAAGCTTCGGAGCCCTCCTTTGCGAGATTGGCGGGTTTACCGTCATACTCGACAATGTCACCTGGCTGAGGGAAGCGGATATCAACACTTTCCGGGGTAGTGCAGCCATTGACGTTTGCGACAAACATGGGAGGGAAGCTAGCAGCGCGTCTCTCGAGTTCCTCGGGGGAGCGCTTGGAGGAGCCACCCGAGACAGTGATGGGAGCGCAGTTCATGTACATCTCGCGGTTGCCGATGCGGTTGAACCAGGTCCAGGCGAGGGTGTATTTGCCAGCGGAGATGCCGTCAGGAATAGTGAAGTTGAAAGAGTAGGGATCGATGACGTCGGGACCGCCGGACATGTTGCCATCGACATCGGCGGGGCAGCCGCCCTCGAAGGACTTGATGACCTTCCACTCGGAGGACTTGGAGGGCTTTAGGTCGGTGGTCAGACTGATCTGGCAGGAACCACCACCGTGGGTGGCGCTGCCGACGAAGGACAGAGGGTGGGACTCGCCGATGGCGATGATTGTCTCGGTGGAGGGGGCCTCGAAGGCGTTGTCACGAAGCTTGCAGGGGAAGTCACTGCCGTCTGCTGCCAGAGGCGAGTTGTTGAGACTGTCTTTGCTGTAAGGAGTGGGGGTACTCATGATCATGTGGGCGTTGACCATGGAGGCGCCCATCAGGGCAGCGATCACTTTGGAGGTGATGAACATCTTGGATGATTGCACTTTTGGGGTTGCTTGAGATCTTGGTCGACAAATAAATGTTGCAAATGGAATCGATTCGTGCCAGACGAATGGAATCAGATGTCAAAAGGAATGGATCTTGTAGTGGAATGTTAGCGTTGTGATGAGAGACTTATAAATGTGAGAGACAAGGCGAGAGGTTCAGGAGTATATATATTGACAGTCTCATTGAGGGGTCTATTGTACGCAAGGCAGATAGCGTCCATCAATAGACCATATATCTCCCACAATAGATCAGACGGATATAGATCGGAGGCAACGTTGAAACAAAGACAACAAAACAATACCTTTGTGTCAGAGTGAAGTGAAACAAACTGATTCAAATTTGCCGGATGCTATTTTCAATATCTCTTTGTTGATGAACAATAGCGATAGCGTTTTTGTTTTATATATCAAAACCGGGATTTCACGAAAGGAATGTATGATATTTTGCCACAGGCAAAAAGATCAAAAAAAAGGAAAGTGACACAGGTCTAGCCTGAATGTCGAATTGATAGAAATAAGAAAAGAAGAGAATGAAATGTACTAAAGAAGAAAGGAAAAGAAAAGCCATGCAACATTGGCATCAGGGATTATATATACAGACATGGGGTTACTCTCGGGCCCTTCAAGCATCTCGAAAATTCCGAGTCTCAGCCTCTGAATGGTCCGATGCTACGTACATGGCAATTAACCAGACACACTTGGTGTGATCTCCGAAAGTGTAGAGACATCCGCTTGGTCGATCGATTGTATGTGTATATCCACAGACCTGGAGGGTGGGGAAGGCCAAGCGGGAGAGGGGATGTTTCAGAAGTCATGTTTTTCCATTTTGTCCACTGAGGTTCGGATGTTTAGACGGTGAAAAGCTGAACGGTTCAAAATCAAAAGATGACCAGTAGGAAAACCCGAGAGACAGCTCGATACCCGCTGAACTGGGGCGATGGGCGGCTGGAGAAGAGCCAACCACATCGCACAGACTGCAAGGTACAAGACTTTTCCACCCCCTGGATTTGTCGCACCATCAACCGCTAGCACACAAACCTCCGATGCATTGGCTGTCGTTGTAGCCGCCCTGATTTTTTTTGATTTTTTTTTCTTCTCGCTTCTGAGGTTGCCAATTACGAACGTCGACAGATGTGTTTCATGTTCACCTCCGTACCACCTACTCCATAGTGTCCATCGTTAGCCCTTGCGATTTGTACCCAAACCTATGACGCAGTGAAACAAGAACATGTAATCCAAAGTGGGCATCCTCAGTTCAGTCTTCATCCAATCTATCTAACACCGGCACTTATGTGTGGGGTACTCGGTACAAAGTCTTCCCCCCTGTGCCAAGTCTTGAGGTTTAGAAGATGAGTTCAACAAGGTTCATATGATTAAAGTGTGACATCTCCGAATGGAATGTGTCAATTTTAATTTTCAAGATCTCTATAGCGATGTCAAGCATACTACATTGTAATTTTATAAACGTGGTCCAGGATCATCTTGGTGAGGCCACAGCTCCACCAAATGTACTTGGCGGATTCCATCTCCGCTAGAAACTATGTTGTATATGGAAGCCACTACAACATACTTTGTACGGGGCATAAAGCCTATTGCCTAGTTTCCCCAAAGAACTATCTACACCACAAAGCTCGGAAATGAGAATCACCAGGTTGACTCCCTGTCATTTCGGACAGACCGCAATACTCGGCTGGCCTAGCCGAGAACTGGGATAGGGACCTGTGTTTGCGAGTTCGAAAATGAAACCCGAGAGACGCAATCAAGGTTTGTATCTGGCGCTGCTGTGACTCGTCTGTTAGTCCGTCGTATACTATGGTAGCATCTGGTGGGTTTGCCTTGACAAATCGAATATATAGTTATATATAAATATATATATATATATTAACTTAGTATATTGCAAACTCCCCCCTGTGTACCATTCTTCCAATGTTACTCCTTATTACTTGATGGCAATTAAACCTCTGGTCTATTATTGTAATCAAATCATCAACCTAGCACTCTCCCCTCTTTGCCCATGCATGACTATTTTGATCTAAGCGCCCACAGTACGTAGACCCTTGGAATTGGGCATAAGGTCCTCCAATAACACTTCGCATGATGGTTCGTATGAGAGTGGCCATATAGCGCAAATGGTTTCATATTCTACATACGTCAGTGGCTAATCGACGCCAAACCTTAGGCCTCTCCAAGGGAGATAGCGCGAGACAGGTCATCGTAGTAATAACGCAGTGTGCAAATAAACCTCGCGGGTTTCAGTAAAATGACATCCAGGGCCAATATAATGTGTAACTACAGATCTAAAGCATGTTGTTTATAGGAACAGTGCGTTGTATTGGCCAAGCATGCACATAGTCAATATGCCCTGGGAAACTACATGTAGTATATGGTAAGTACCTGATTTGGACTTGTTCGATAGCGTGCACTATCAACTCTTTCTATTCGAGACATTAAATGTACATCTGCCAAAGCAGCGGTTTTATGTCGCTTGCGGCAGTCCGAAGTTGCCTATGTACTCGGACCGGTGTGCTTCACATATATGACATTGACCAAGTCGTGAGCGCCAAAGCAAGCCCTGCATGTGAGCTGTGAACCTGCCCAATGATGCCGCTGTGGCTCCCAGCTCGCAGGATTCAAGTGGGGATTTCTCTGTGTCCGATGAAATTCAAGCATTGCTTGTCGACAGTAGTCTGCAGCCAGCGTTGTAATGGGTCACACCATTTCCCCAGTGCGGTAACTCGTCGGACAGACATAAAGTATCTGACACTTTCCAAATAGGAAGGTTGTATCCGCAGTTCTAGTGCGATTGATGCCTGCTCGGGTGTTTCATGCTATCCATCTCGCACGGGCCAAAAATTTTCCCATGTGAATGAAACCATGTTCAGGGTCTCTCGAACATACCAAAACCATTAGGGATATCACCAGTCCTCTCATTTCTTTCCCTTCTTCTTCCCTTTCTCTGCACCCGAAGCCTCCTCCTTCTCCTTCGTAAACCCGCCCTTAACCAAAGCATCCCGACCAACATCATTAATGAGCCGAAACCGCGCCGGACCAAGTTGAATGCCGCCATACCACCGCGTAACAACAACCACAACATTCCACACATCCATCAACTGCATAACATGCAACAACCGACCCCCAGCAGCAGTCTCCCCATCATCATCATAATCCTGAACCACAGTCTCACCCTCCCCATCCCCAGCCTTCTTCTGCCGAATGCGCCAGGCACTAATATTATGTGTCGCGGCCGCAACCTTCCGATCCGTAGCCGTAAGATGATCAATAAAAGCCTGCGCCTGCGCAAGACAAGTAACACGGGCAACACGACCCACGAAAACCGATTTTTTCTCGGAGACCACGTCTGAGAGGATCCATTCGGGCGGGGCATCGAGGCCGAACGCGTCGCGCAGGGACAGAGTTTCAAAGGCGTCCGTGGCGGTCGACGCGTCGATAATTGGTGTCTGAGTAGACGAGTCCCCGACATCATCCCGCCCGATACTCAATTCCGGGAATACATCGACGGCTTCGCTGATTACATCGAACAGACACACGGCGCCGGCCTGCCAGGTCCGTTGTACGATATCCTCTAATACATCGATGGCGATCTTGCCTTCCCCGCGTGCGGCGGTTGATGCTGTTCCCAGTACCGCGGGTCGGGAGTCTGGGTATGAGGCTTCGAAACCGAGAATGAAGGATAGGTTTTGTTGTTCTGGGATTTGGAGGGTAACCACTGTGGTATGGATGTTGCTATTGGAGTGCGCGGGAATTCCTAGGTCGAGTGTGTTTTTGGATGTCGCGTTTGCGGGGGCCGTGCGGGTTACGGTTATTGTATCTGGCTCGTAGATGGCATTTACAGCTTCAATTTCTTCGGCGAGGTCTTGATTCTCGGGGATTAGAGGCATTGTGCTGGTTGGAGAGCTCAACGCTCGTGCGGGGTGAGGGTTCAATTATTTGTGAGCGCGGGTTGACCCCACAGTTTGTTCAGGCACCAAGGCACCAATTTTGATATGGTGAGTATAAAGTAATTGATGTACATGTTCTTACCTGATGAAATCGAAAATTGTTGGGGATGAGGACTCAATGTGGCCTTGCCTATTATATAGCATATATTAGGAAAGGGGGATATATTCCTACACGAGATAAAATTATCCAAGATTTCACAGCTACCCTACACAGTCAAGATGTCTTCCTAGATTTCTTTCGAAATCACCCCGATCTGACATTTCAAGAAGTTCGGGTCCAGAGATTTCGAAATTTTGAGATATCACCGAGAAACTCAATTACTCTCGCCAGGAGCAACAAGATATCTCTAGAGATTCCGATCGAAGAAGTGAAGTTGTCCCACGGCCGGAGTGTTGGTCGAAAATGGATCGTCGAATCACAAGAAAAGTTATTTAGTCACTCCAAGCCCGTGAGCATCATCACTTTGGTCGAAGGTATTGTACATCGAGACGTGATTTGGATTTTTCTTTTGATTTGATCTGGGCCGTGAGCTGAGAAATATTAGTTTCGTCATTTGATATTCAAGGGGGGGGACGTTCGGAAGACATACCACACTCATGACAAATGTGCCGTATTAGATTTGTCATGCAACAATGTCTCTTTGAACAGACAAAGACTGAAGACTGTGACCCTCATAAGGGACATGAGCAGACAAGCTGAATGATTTGTATCCGTTGTTCAGTGTGCCATCCTAGTCCAGTGGAGAATGAACGATCAGGAGTCAAAGTGGGAAAGCCGAAGTTGTTTGGTGACGTTGACAAAAGTGACAAGTGTTGGACGTTGCTTGTGTGTCTCTTGTTAGGTTTCGATTGATTGATTGTTTGAACCGTTTTGCCAAGAAGTGATGTGATCTTCGGGATTGCGATTGGATTTAGACACAAAGTTGGAAATGCTGAGGTCAGTGGATAGTCATTACCATGTCCATGCTGCAATGCCTTTCGCAAAGTCAGCATCCGGAGATGTGGGCCGATTGTTATCTTCGA